AATTTTGAAGAACTCCAAGTACCTCTATTTTCTTAGAATAAAACTTAATTTTAGCTGATATGTCATTTTTGCCAAGTCATTTATCTGTTTTGTGATCGTTAAACTTTAAAACAATGTAGAACATGCGGTATCCATTTCAAGAAAACAAAAAACATTACTATAACTTTTCTTATATTTAATGTTTAATATCTAATGGCATTTTTTTCATCTAGATCTAAATTCTATCCAGATACAAAACCCATCTGGACTATGGAGTTTAGGTTTGGTTTTAATTTTTTAAATAACATTTGAATTATTTGCCTTTAATACATTATCACGGGGTTGTTTGGGAACAAATTAATGGGATAGCATAGTTCTTGCTTCTCAAGTTCGGAAATTTGAAGTCCTCCTCTGCTGCGTGTACTTAATTATTGTTCAAATATCACAGTTATGGAAATGCTGTTAGAAATAATTTCCCCTCAAGAAATTACTTTTCATTTAGTTGAATTATGGGGCAATAACAGCATATTTACAATAATGGTATCGAGATAAATGGGACTTATATAGTAAAAGTCAAGTAAAAGGTCTGTTTGTTTATCTCGGCCATCTATAATTAACCGAACAGACTGCCATATGGGCTGTATTATTATACCTCCATCTTTTAACGCCATACGAATTAATGACGTCATACACATAGTAATATGGCCGATAAATTTACCGTGAGAGATTTCGATAACGTGACCTATGATGAACCTTGGTGATTGTTATACAATAAATAACCACAAAAAATATCGATGTCATGACGGTTTCCTACTCGACAATAGAAAAATATATGTAAAAATCAAAAGCACTATCACAATATGTTAAGGAGTTAGGCCAATAGGTCAACGTGTATGATTCGTTGCTTACTCCGACATCTGGCAAGCATTGGTTTTTTTAATTTATACATCTCAAAGTTGAGAATCGGGCTTCTTACATTTTGTTACCTATAATATAAACTTATCCTGTCATAATACATTCATTTTACACGAGATGTGGATAAAAGGTCGAAGCTTAGTCTGCATAAAAAGGCGGCTAATTAAACTACATAAAAATTGCTGCTGTCAGACTATAAATAGTTGTATTGATCAAAACATGATATTTGCAAACAATGTAAGATGTTTGAAATATTTGCTTATAATCAAGAATATATGTAAACACCTGACAACAGATATCAGATATGCCACTCCATTTAAATCTGAAACGAAGTTTTTCTTTAATATGAAAGAGATGGGGGGGGGGGGAATATTGGCAGACATATAGAATCGTAACTTTTAGGTTAAAGAATGGAAACATAACGCGGAAATTTTAATGCATATTTCAATGTTTTTAAAATATATTTTATTGCCTGTTGTTGGAAAGAAGAACAATGTATTAATTGAACTGGCAACAGTTGGGTCCCTTGTCTTTTTTGGGGGGTTCCAGATTTCCTTTAATATATGGACTTTTGCATCCCTTATAGTCAAGTCAACACGTCAGTTTATTATTCTGACACTATATAATGATGGCACCTACTCTAATCAACTATAAAAAAAGGTGCAAGGGGGTAATTTCAAATGTAAAAGAATCACGGATTGTGGTGAATATTAATAAAGACAAAAGAATACGAAGAAACGAAAATATTCGAAACGTACACACGATAAAAATAAAAGCATATAAATAAGGTTTGTTCAGTTGTAATAATTTGTTGTTCATCATTGTAAAATTACAAATATTGTTACATCATATGCGTCAATCAATGGAATCATATTAATAACTGAAAGTTAAAAAAGTACATGTAATGATAATGAAGCTAAGAACTGCAGTTATGAGTGCTATATTATGGCATGCAGTTTCTCTTTAAAGGATATTAATGGCATTGCAGAAATATTAGTTTATTTTAAGGTTGGCGTTTTCAATTTCACCTTAATGATTATCTGTATGAGCAACATGTCATAGAGGTTTTTGAATTTATTTTTTCTGAAATGGAAATTTTCTTAGTGTCTACGACCTTTTCTTCTCAAGGTTATGCAAGCTTGTTGTTCTATAAAAAGTATTTTCATATATAGAGAGGCATGTGGGTCTTGTTTACATAGGAGCATTAATATCATACCCTTTATTGCAATCACTTAATCTGGAAATTCTTGATTTGGTTGCTTTACGTTTTATAGATATGGATTTATAACGACCCTGTGGTGTCACAAATAGGCTATATGTCCATCGGAATCCAAAGGCACTGAAAACTTATGTTTACCTGGGCTTTGTAATAGGCTATGTGTCCATCGGAAATCCAGTTTATTTATCAAAAAGAACTGTTTACCTGGGCTCTGTAACGAAAGAGATTAAAACAAGCGTATACATTTTACTTATGGCCACAGATCACTAAATATTTCCCCGTTGACTTTAAGGATAATTCGTATCTTAGACCAACTCTAACTTTTTCCCAAATTTGCGTTGGGTAGAACGCTTTCCGCCACAGATGGAGCAACATGTGGCAAACTCTTGCCCAAAAACATGTATGAGGTTCACCATGAAAAACTTGAGATACACAAGCTGGAAGTAGAAACATGCAATTTTCGGCCCTACATTTCAGCCTTATACCAACCTCTCAACTCTTGTATCCTTACGCCGCAAAATCATGAATATTCACCGAAACCTGACAGAAAATGTATTTCCAAACCCTTTTCTTCGATTCTACACCAAAAAGTCAACAAAAATCGTCATGCAACAGGGGGAAAAAGGGAAAGGGAGAGAAAGGCTAAAAAATAACTTTCGCCCTACATTCGCGGATGACGGCGTAGAAATATTTGGTGATCTGTGTCCTTATAGAACTATACCATAAGCATTGCTCTCTAGTCTATGAAAACAGTTACATGTCAGTAGACTGCCAGGCCGACCCTCGGTTATCGTGATCTCTTGACTTGGTCGAACTAACTGAATCCGAATTTCATTTAGTCCGGACTATAGTCCGAAAATACGAAAGTGTAGAATATGTAGAAAGAATCTATTTTTGTAAAGTATATGATTTTAAGAAAGCTTGAATGAATTTTAAATGGTTGCTACTTCTATGAGCAGATATTTTTTGTCTAGTATGTTATGTCTGAATCTACGTAAGTCTAAAAATTACGCATAATTTCAATATTTGCGCTATGCAAAAAGTAAAGTCAAGTTACAAGGAATTTTGTCGTCTCTAAAATGAATTTGAGTCGCGCAAATTTAACTTCATGAAAGTATTATTTGTTTATGAAACTATGTAACACAGCGATTCATTATCCTCCATGGAGAGATGTATAGACCTTCCTTGGGGTTAAAGGGTTTTTTCAGGGTTATGCTCGAGGCCTAAAGCAGAGACATCACCGTGTCCCTGGGGGCAGCCATCTTTGAACAGACGATGGTCCGGACCATTCGCGTTCGGTTTCTAGTTCCGACCACTAGTCGTGAAAAAATTGTAACCGAAGGCCGCCCTGGATGTTGTGGCTACTTCCAGAATTTATATGATCTAAAATAGATTTTCCTGTTACCCACCGCTTTATCATCGATTAAAGTTGCATCTCTTATTGAACGTAGGTACTTAGGCTATAATACCCATAACATAATCAGGGGATTTATTCACCAGGACTCAAACTAAAATATTTTTAGAATACAGTATTTTCATTGGCTAAGAGGTACTATATGTACTTAAATTTTAAGCTTTAACCAATTAAATGCAGAATTTTAAAAATATTTAAGTTTAAATTTTCATGAATAAGGAGGTTTCTCTAGATCTTGGTAGCGCATTTATCTTCAATTTTCGTACACAATTCGGGAATGATTTCTTGGTGGAAGCGGACGTTAACCCTATAAAGCCGTGACAAATGTAAACTATTACTCAGAAAATGGCAGTTTGCCCACTTTATTAACGATAATTACTAAAACTTTGACATGAGTGAATTGTATATAGTATGTTTTAATTATTCTAAGAAATCCGCAGTAATTATTGAAGACATTATGTTCAACTAGACTTAAGTTGTCCCGAGGCTAGTAATTGTTAGAGACATGAAAAATATCACGTATGCTTTCTCTTAAGAATGAGATACATTTCACCGCACCTGTCGAAACAAAATGCACATTTAGAATGAAATATTATACATAGACCTGTCGACATGAACATTTTCACTCTATAAAAAAAATGTAGGAACATTGTCAATACGTTTGGTTAATAGTAAAACAGCTCTTAACGTCAGGTAAATGTAGTCTAGGAAATGCATACTACTAGAAACAAATGATGATGCTGCGTTGTCATGGATTGCTTTGCATGCGTTACTGTGCTAAAATAAAATCGTGACATTTATTTTCCCTAGCGTCGACAAGTTATGTCTAAGCTTAGCAAAGGGTGTAAAAGAAAGAGAATTAAGTATAATCGATTTCACCAAGAAAATTAAATATGACTTTATTTTTTAAAAAGATATTTATAATAACCTTAGCTACATCAAACTACTTCTAAAGGAGTCAAGTCTTTAAACCAATATCATCCACAGTCTTGGCATTGCAAACACGACTTAAATCATCATTGATGTTGTTATCTTACCGTGAAAAGTTGGACTTCCAATATCCAATATTTAAGACTAAATGAAAATTTTAAATGCTTTGTCTCTTCGAATTTGTTTGTGTGTATATGGTTCCCCTGCACTAACTATAAGAAGCCGAAAAGTTAGTTAAATTGGGATTTTATAATGGAAATCTAGAAAACTGGGTTTTAGTAGAAAGGTGGGCCACTGTGTTACAACTGGTGTAAATAGGTCGGTATTTAACACAAACTTAACACTTTTGACACTAACTCAGATATATACCAAACATGGTTTTAGCATGGGGTTACACTAGTGCTACACCATATTAACATGTGATTAGCTACATCTGCTTAACCCCGGACTTGAATTGATCCAATTCAATTTGAACACAAAATTCGTAATATTTAGACAAATCGAAGATGTTTATCTCTTAAGTTCTCAATTTCTCTTTTTCAGATGCTCGTTTATTGGCCACTGGGTATGATTGTAAATACGCTGAAACATCGGCAGCCTTGAACCACCATCTTGATGAACTGCTGGTCGGAATCTTAAGTCAGATCCGCCTTAAGCTCAGTATTCCAGTTGAACCCGTTTATCCCATCAAGAGTCCCACAAAGGAAAAGAAGAAACACAAAGGTCCCTTTAGTATCTTCGCTAAACTATTCCAGCGTAAGACCAAAAAGGTGAACTATACTTGTGATAATCTGTTCACTCTGTAATATAAAGGTGATTGTAATTATTAGGTTGTATTAACTTTTTGATAGAATTCGCTGAAGATCTTCAAATTTTCGTTTACATTAAACATCGTTTTGTCGAAAAAAAATTTTCATCATTGCAGACAACTGTGTACTTCTTCTACACAGGTCTTCGCTTATTTAGATGTAATTATTTAGATAGTTGGTATTGTGATTGGTATCGTGGTGATATTTTAGCTTTATACTTGTCCATGCAATAGATTGATATTTTGAAATGATACTAAGAACATGTAGATCTGTTTGTATGTGGTAGCTTAAATGGATAACTCAGTTCCGGATATTTATTTTAGAATATTTTGTTTTATGTCCATTGCAGGATTATTCATTTCATAGCATCCCAACATGCGTTTTGGGTGAATTATTATAAATAGAATTGAAATGAATTATATATACTCTTCCGAAAAAGTAGGGGATATTCAGAAACAATACAAAACTACGGAAATGCACTGCTGTTTTTATTAGAGGTAACCAGTGTATGTTAACAACAGGCCAATTGCCTACACATGAACATAAACAGTTCATATGGGCGGCTTATCTGACGGCCCCATTTCACTCGCAAAGAGATACACTGTCAAAAGTGAAAATGGACGTTTTTGATTTTTGTCTTAATCATGAGTAATTGCTCCACCAAGCCTCAGACATTCAACAATTCGTCGTGGCATGCTCCTAATCAACCGTCCAATCACGATTTGGGGCAATCTGACCCACTCCTCTTGCAGTGCCACGGCCAATTCTTGCAGTGTTGTCGGTTGACGTTGTCGCGACGTCTCCCGATCATGTCACAGACATGCTCTATGCGAGAAAGGTCAGGACTCATGGTTGGCCAAGGCATATGGACAATATGATTCCTCCCCACACCACAACAGACCCACGCCCGAATCTGGCATGCTGTCTGACGTTAACGTTAGCATGACGCTCATTTACACGCCTCCAAACGCGAGCTGATCCTATCGGTGAAATCCAGAGTAAATCTGGACTCGTCTGAGAACATTACACGCGCCCATCGACGATTATCCCAATTTCTACGCTGCCTACACCATTGACGCCTGTTTGCCATGTGCTGGCCAGTTAATGGAGGCACAACACGCGGTCGTCGCGCATGCAAATGGGCTGCATGTAGCCGATTTCTAATCGTTTGGGGTCTAACTCGAATTCCTGTAACTTGGTACAAGTTTACAGAAAGCTAACAACGTAGCTCTAATCAATGTTTGTTAATGTCGTGATTTTAAGTTAGGAGAGGGTGACCAGGCTCCGAGTTACCTATTTAGGGTGTTTTCCGGTATTCAGTGTGTTTATAGAAAGTTTATAGAAAGCTGATTAGCCGTTTGTCCTCGATTTCGCAGGATCTTTTTACGAATGTATCGATCCTGGGCTTGTGTAGTGGCTCTAGGACGACCTGAACGAGATCTATCATCAACATTGTGTGTTTGTTGGTACTAGTTCCACAGTCTGCTGATCACAGACTGTGACACATTAAGCATGTTAGCTACTGCTCGCTGTGTAGAACACATTTGAAGCATGTCAATTGCACGTAGACGTTCATCATGTTGAAGACGTCTCATTGCAAATTAAAGGTAACACACTAAAGCAAAGATACACTAAACAGTAAATCTTATGCAAGAACCGATAGGAAAGCACACATAGATAGGATAAACCAGCACACGGCAGTTTTCATCAACCCTTCTTGAAGTGTCAAATTTGACTATGAACCCCTCAGTGGTTCTGTTGGGGCGATAAGTTCTTCATCTGTGAACATACTCTCAAAGCATGTCAAGTGTCCATGACTATTTATCATATCACAACCTGCATAGGTATTTGCATTTCAATATCCCCTACTTTTATTGAAGAGTATATATGCACATGTCTACATATTATATATTTATGTATATAAGTTATATATTTATTGTTTACGTGCTATATAACTTATATTAGTCATCATGCTATTTATATATACTTATTTGCTGTTTTATGTAACACAAGTCTGTTATGATATAGTGGAGATACATTTAAATCAAATAGAAGTGCCAGATTTAAGACGAGCATTACGGAATCTGTCCACCAATTTTTTAATCATAAACCTGGCCCGAGGTATCCATGATGTTCAATGTACGAACTATACACCTAGTATGACTCGTCGGCAGAATCTAAAGCCCAGCCGATTTAAGTACCAATTAAATTAATCATTTAAATATTATAGAATATATATTTTATTTCGGTGTAACAAATGACATTCAAATGATTCTTTCTCAATTTATACACGCTTAGGGAAAATAGCCTGCGTGATTTAGCACTTTCGTAATTTCTGGTGACTGAAATAGATGCCAAATTCGCCACTTATGTAAAGGAAAAAAGGGGGGAAAACGTAATGGTAATGGTTACGCTATAAAAATCGTGATAACCTGCTAAGTAGAAATCTACTTTTCAGCCAAATGTCTGTTACGTAAGAAATTAACTAGTGTAATTTTAGTCTTTTAACACAATGGTGGCCATGTTTGTAATAGGATAATTAACGTCAGATCAAAGAATCAATGCATTATTAGCCGTGTATCATATCGTAACTGTGTAAAAAACAAACCCCGAATGTTTTAATGTATTAAAACTAGCTTATTTATTGCACCATACGATCTCTCATCGCCGCTTGAGTTCTCTGTTCTAGTCTTTCTTGTATTCTCTTTATCTTCTCTTATTGCGAACAGTTCGTTTTTGATCGGAAACAGTCGTTCATGGCTGCAACTTGACAAAACTCCCTTTAAAAAGTGGGCTTGAAATGATAGTTAAGATATAATATACTCTTCAAAAAAAGTAGGGGATATTTAGAAACAATACAAAACTGTGGAAATGCACTGCTGTTTTTAGTAGGTAACCAGTGTATGTTAATAACAGGTCAATTGCCTGCACATGAACAAAACAGTTCATATGGGCGGTTAAGTGAAAATAGACGTTTTTGATTTTTGTCTTAATAATGAGTAATTGCTCCACCAATCCTCAGACATTCAGCAATTCCTCGTGGCATGCTCCTAATCAACCGTCCAATCACGATTTGGGGCAATCTGACCCACTCCTCTTGCAGTGCCACGGTCAATTCTTGCAGTGTTGTCGGTTGACCTTGACGTCGACGAACACGTCTCCCGATCAAATTAAACGTAACACACTAAAGCAAAGATACGCTAAACAGTAAATCTTATGCATATGTGAACATACTCTCAAAGCATGTCAAATGCCCATGACTATTTATCATATCGCAACCTGCATAGGTATTTGCATTTCAATATCCCCCACTTTCTTTGAAGAGTATATATATATATAAGAAACAAAATTTGTAGATTTCAATGGGCAGCACACACGCTGTAGACGCCAAATATACTTTTATGTACAATACTTTTATCAAGAACTTTTAGTTGTAATGCACTATGTGTTAAAATCTTGGTTATTTTCAATTTAAACACATGTGTGTTTTGCGATGGGATTCTTTCTTCCGGGAGGTTAAGTATTTACTAAATACTGTTATCTTTATTAATTATGGAGCGCCGTTTGTAGCTTGCAAGGAGAATTAATATACTTTCAAATTACACTTATATAATTATTAAAGACTATTGTTTTGAAAAATTTAGTGTAAAAACATGAAACCAAATCAATGATAACATTCTAGAAAAGCTATTCCTCGTTGATTTAAAATCTGCTAAAAGGGACATAAACAATATTAGTAAAGATTTTTATGTTTATTAGTATAATCTGTTTGTTTTGCACAGATCAAGATAAAAAAGTTGATATAGTTTAAAATAACCTACTAATTGTGTGGTATAAAGAGACGATACACTTAGCACTGTTGATTTTTTTTCTATTCTGTTACACAGTAGCTTACACATATGTCATTCTATCAACTATTTTAGTAACAATTTTACAGCAATTCGATGCTGATAAGGATTTAAGGTGAATAGATTCTAATTCTGAAATGGCGATAAACGACAAAAACGTGTATCAGTGATGGCAAAATAGGAACCATGACATCACCATTGGTTAATGGTATATCATAGCGATAAAAAATGTGGTGTGAATGCCGCTGATTTTCTATCATTGACGTCATGAAATCTACTGATAATGCTATTATGTCATTAAAATCGTGCGGATAAGTGGCAACAGTTGTGAATTCTAATGGCACCACCCAAAAACCAAACGTTTAATGATGGATAAAGAGATAAGTCATCAGTCTGAAACAAGAGATTTATGTTCAAAACCATAAAAGCCAGGTGTTCGGGTTTTAGATGCTGTGATGAACAAACAATAAAAAAAATCATTTGTCTGATTAATTTGTGCCTTGTTTGAAGTTAAAAAGAGGCGAAAATAACCTGAAGTACAATATTAGCTCTGATATTTTAAAGCGACAAATGACTGATTTGACAAAAATAAATTAAAGAACAGTAACTGTTGTTTATCTGTTTTCAACCAGGTCGTTGGTAGATAATTATTTGAAAAGCCAGACAGCCATATTGCATTGCGAGATTTCTGTTTAAATGTATTGCTCTATTGAAAGCTTTTAGTGGAATTAGTTATGTTGCTGCTTTTGGCTCCAACTAATAATTATATACTCGAAGACATAAATAAGCGCCAATCACCAATGTTAGTAAACTCGAGTAGTTTGCACTTAATTCAATTATTGAAACAGAATAAAATACTTTACTGGTAGTAGGGGAAACAAGCCCAATCAACAGAGAACTTAACTTTCAAGCAAGGTACATTTTAGACAGAATTAAACATGAATCCGTCTTAAAGAAAGCAAATAAATCACATGCCAATGATCCACTTGCTATTTGTTTGTCTACCTGACAAAAAACCTATAGGAATTCAGACAGATGTAATAGATTTACTGTTATAGCTGTTTTGGGATTTTGTTTAAATTGTCGTAGATTAAATGGATTAGAGCCATCTGTAGAAAGTACTAAAATCTACACCTTAAGTCTTTTATCTTGGGTACTGTGGAACTTGTTTTAATTATCTATAGTCGGGTATTCTGTTTTATGTTAGATTTGATTATGTTCAACAAATTCACTCGGTCTATTTATTTTAAAATAATGAATACTATAATTGATTATATCAAATAGTTTATAAGAAAAACATGTAAAGCTGATTCAAATGAATCACTAGTGTAATTCAGATCGAGTAAACGTTTAGTAATGTTGATTTGTATGTGTATTTAAGCTTTACTTGTATGGGCAAATTAAGCAACACATTACCGTTAACTTCCTTAGATATACTCGTATAAAAAATTATATAAATTATTATAACCATATTAACTTAGCATTCTTTCTGTTGAAAACGAAATAAGGTTTAAATTATTAATTTTCTGTTCCAACTCGGCTAGTAAAGACGGCTTTCATTTGAATAATGAACACGTGCAAATTTAATATCGTTAAGATAAAATTAAGCAATTATTGTATAAATGTATTCACCTGACCCCATGACCTGACCTATTTTATTTACATTATCAACTGAAACATTTGAACTTTGATATTAATTAAGATTTACTGTATTTGTTAAAATATTCATCCAATATTTATTTTATATTCATATATATGCATTTGTACATTTAACAATCATTGTCATTAAAAAAAAAATTAAAACATAATGGTTATTTATCAATGTGTGCAATAAATGTAATATCATTATAGTATTTATCTTTATTAATACTTATGACATGTTATTAACTGATTATTATATCATGATGTATGACACGTCTTTTTAATCGGAATCGATGTTTGTGTCAGATTATTTGTGAAATTGTAAAGACAGTTATTTTGTGCGAGATCTGTATTTATTGTAATAAGTTGGCGTGCATCGAGTATATTCTAACAGGGGTTGCCGAGTTCATGTAAATACTGTTTATATAATAAACATCATAAATGAATTGTAAATATTTTTGATAATAAATATCTTGTATTTGATTTGTAATTTCATTATTCTTATGCATTCGGAATAGTTGCTAGTATCTGGGATAATAAATAATTTATAGCAGAATGAGGAGAAACACCCTTTGTGTTCCTATTCTGTTTGAAAGTTTCAAACTTTTTGATCGGGTACTCTGGTCTGCTGGAGGTTTGGATTTAATTACTCAATTTCACGAGATATCTTTTGATTTTTTTAAAATTGCTAGTGATGGCGTGGAGTTAACTTAAGAGTTTTCAGCGTTCTGCTGGGACAAACAAATTAGTAGTGCACCTTAAAGATTCCTAGACAATTTGAATTCGAATAATAGTAGGCGAAAACTCTGCGTGTCCCGGGGTGATTCTCATAATATAAAAATTACCATAAACTAGTAGAATTAAATAAATCGTAAAATGAATTAATCACAGTTGCCATCGCTGTTTTTTTTAAAGATAATTTATAAGATTATTAGTCTTGCATTATACATGTATGTAGTTGGGCTTATTTATATCCCAAATGAGTACACATGTATTGATTGTATATAGTATTCTCCCAACCCACATGTGCTGACATTTTATCAATCTGTAGTTGATCTTACCTCAGTCCTTGACAGCAACGTGTAATATTATCGACGCGCCACATCCGGAATCTGCAGGTCAAGATTACTATGGACCTTGTATTATAAGGCTCATGAGATTACGGATCAACAAGGCTACAAACTGAAACCTTGTAAACGCTTTACGGGTCAATGTTTTTAGATTTAATTTCCAAATTTGCTGAGATTGTTCTACTAGTCATGGGGAGGAATTCAATATCGAAATGGAGAATTGTGAATTGATTTTACGAGGAGTTATTACCCCTGTCGCCGAAACCGTGTAAACACGGTATCTTGAACGGAGCTGTGGTTATATTGACTAATAAACAAAGTTGAGAGTTGGACATTAACAATAAAGTTATACGCGTGGTATATTGGACGTTAAATCACATAAAGTAATAACGTATTATAAATCAATGTTCAAGAAACGATGTACTTCCCCCACATGTTCAGAACAGATTAAAGACATGACCTTGTGTGATAGAGAACAGTGCAGGCTATAGAGTGGATTTATTTCCCCATCCACATTCTAGAATATGGATAGAGCTACAACTCAACCCCTTTCACACGACGGAGGTGGATTGGGTGGCCAAGAGGTAGGTTCCTCTGCCTAACCTGGTGGGGTTTTACGGGAACCCCGGTTTCCACTTACTGCTAAAGACCCCTACGCATAAGCGTTAGTCCCGAAATGACATAGTTTCTGTTGAATAGACGTTAAACTCCCAACAACGGGAGCGAACCCGAGACCATCTGGTTATAGAGCTTGCGTCTTACTCACTGAGCCACCGCAAAGCTCTTTGCAACCAAATAAAATTATATAATGCACGAGCATTACACCCGAATGTCAAAGTTAAAGATGTTCGTCTCGAGCTTACTTTCCGGTTATTTTTTGGATTTATCACAGTTTTCACTGCGATTTCTCATATGAGGTAAATTTCAAGAAAAAGGTATAAATCAAGGTATGACACTAATAGGCCACCGTACTATTTCCACCGCGGTGTAAATATTTTCTGTGTGGTGTAAATATTTTCTTCGCGGTGTAAATATTTTCTCCGCGGTGGATAGGTTTTTCATGGTTTTTTTATTTATCACAGTTTTCACTGCGATTTCTCATATGAGGTAAATTTCAAGAAAAGGGTATAAATCAATGCATGGCACTAATAGGCCACCATAGGTATCCGATCATTAAAAAAGAAACTGAAAGATAAACTTTTACATTCGTCTTTGTTTCGTTAGGCGCTAAAAATCTTGATGTTTTTCAAAATTTTTGCCAACTGCAGACCTTTGACAGCGTGACTCGTCACTAATATGTCCAGGAGAGACTTATCGACCTGACAATTTTAAGCATCAAAAATGGCTTATAACGTTGTTAATTTTGATGAGGCTATTGATGAGTTTGTTTCCAAGTGTGCACAAAAAGTTGCGTTTGAAACAAGTTCAACATGATTTGGAGTATTTTTTAAAAAATAAACAAGTAGTTAGTGGGGTTAAATTTCATACGTACACGGATTTTTATTTCTGAGACTCTGTTACAATCGGGATGGTCCCTTTAATTTCAGTTTCAGTTTTAGCAAAGTTACCCCAGATATACGCCAAATTGACGCTAGAGACCTTGGGTTTTTTTTAAAAACATTGCGGGCCCTGGTTTCTGGTGTGTCAAATGGGCATATATTTATCTAATATAAACTACTAGGTTACACTACCGACAATTTCCAGCCTTGCAAATGAGGTATTGCCTTGTGTCATCTCAAAAACTGAACTAGACAAACTTGATTTCCATCAGACTAGCAATCAGTCATTATTTTCATCACAACCCAGCAACTGAGTCAAGAAAGACATTTTCTATTATTTCACATCGTGTTTATTTGATGATAATATAGTGAATATATCCGCTGCCTGAAAGGAAACATGGTAATAAATTGCCATATAATAAAGATAAGTATTTTAGGATTACAGTGGCAGTTAATGACGTAGAACAGACGTTATTAGATATGTCGATTTCTACATGAATTGTAATACGATGGTAATGTAGTTTTTCAGACATTGCAGCTATAAAAGAAAAAGTTCAGTTTGAATAACCGTGTTGCTTGTGTGTTAAAAGTGGATTCGATATTCTCATGTGTTTCTTTCAGAATGAAAATGTATGTCCAAAACAACTGTTTAGCTATTAATGTTCAGTAATATGTGTTTTGTTTTCTTGTATCGTATGGTCCCACTAGATGGATAGTCTAGAGTATAAATTATACACCAAGGCTCAATTTGTCTGATATCACATCATTGGAACTAGCACTAATTACAACTACTTCATACAGACACACACTTTTAGTGGAGTAGATCTGTGACTCGACGAACATGTTGCGATTATCGGTTACAAAAATAACCATATTTCCAAAAATCTAATTCTTTGTCCAAATTTCATCCTATCCATATTGGATAGCTGTGTTTAATTAAGAGGTGGTAAACTCTATTGACACATTTAAATAGTACATAATACGAATAGCGAAAGGCTGCTTAAGATGTAAACCGCCTATGGTAAGTCAGGTAGTTACGCATCTGTATTACACTGTATATTATTACTATGTATGTAAATAATAAACCTATTACGCCCGAAATGTATTCTATTTTCCTACGAATAGAAGTTCCAGTTCCATAAATAACCAATCAGCTGTGTTATAATTCATAAAAAAAAACAGTTCCATAAAACAATATCTATAGTACAATTCATCAAAAACAGTTCCATAAAGAAGTAATATATTACAATTAATTGAAAACAGTTCCATGAAGAAATAATTATATTACAATTCATAAAAAAAAACAGTTCCATAAAGAAATACCTATATTACAATTTATCAAAAACAGTTCCATCAAGAACTAACTACATTACAATTCATAAAAAAACAGTTCCATCAAGAAATAACTATATTACAATTCATCAACAACAGTTCCATAAAGAAATAACTGCATTACCATTTATAAAAAAAAACTTAGCTTCGGGTAAAAACCCTTCTGAACTTCAATATAAGCTATTTTCCTTTTAATCTTTAGATATACAGTTGAATCGATTATTTTCAGTATTTTTATTTCAAATGTCTGCAAGATGATCTATTGTATCTAAATTACGATGTATGCTGATCTTTGTCTATTTTAATCGGCGTCACCGGAAGTGGTTTTATCGACTTTATATCAAAATAAGATGCATTCGACACACCAATTAGGATCCTTTCGTGTTAATTCTCTTCCTATCATTATATGTTCTGCTGATGCAATTGACTTTCGATACTATGCTAAATAAATAATCTACTTGGGACACTCAGAGTGATCTCCTTACCCGAGAAGACACCACCCATAGCAATAGTGGTCGATGTCGAAATACTAATGTTGTATCAGTCTGTTGTTCCTTTGGGTATTAAATAAAGTGTAAGTACTAGAGCATGAGTCGTGATAAGAGGAAACGCAACGTATCAAAACAGATAGTAGAAACAACCAATAATGTTATCATGGCTATATATATGGAAAATTTTTATTAAAATAAAATTCTGAAGTTGAAAGTAATTTTATCGGCACTTTTCAGGTAAAACATATTGCAATGAAATCTTACAGTCTTATTCCCATTCAATGAGCTTTATATTAGCAATGGAGGCGTCCTGTCTTTACTATAGTCTTTGGACGGTTTCATTTGCGTGCACGTCAATATGTACATGGCTGGACCGCTGTTTTTCGTCTCATTCGAACGACTAAGCAACCTCATCCTTGTCGGCCCCACTCCAGGCGTTGTTGGATATTTTGGGGGGTATTTTATTAATTATCTACAACTATGTACAGCTCAAATTGCTATGGTTATGGTGTAATCAGAGGAAATTCATTCTGTAAATAACCAAACCATGACTGAAATATTTGAAAAATCTACAACAATTAGGTAGAGTTCTCCTTTAATTCCAAGTACATGAACATCCAAGCAAAACGTATTTTGAAAACAACTTCATACTGAAAACCATGCATCATTGCTACCCGCTAGAAAATAGCATCAGTATGTGCTAATATATTCGTAACTTGATATCGCTCTGAGGTTCGAATAATTTAAAGGACAGCCGGTAAATACGGGAAGCAAGACAGCATGTCCCTCAAGATTTTTAATTTAGTTATTAATGAACGATTGTAATTTCTCTACTTTGATGTTGAAATATTTGGATAAAAATCTGAAATATTATGTTTATTCGGTTAGAAAATACGAGCTGCTCGTCGCCAAGTAGAATTTTAAATTTCATATAAGCGGTTAATATCCCGACTTGCCAGTATCCTAAGGTCAAATTTTACGGAATATATAATTTTGGTTCTTTATAGATGAATAAATTGTTATTCTATAAAAAAAAATCAATTGGTTTATTATTATTAAGAGAACAGAATTAGCGTGATATTGTATAGTAT